GGCACAGAACCTGCTTGGTCCGATGACATGCGACCTCTGAAAGCCCATGCCTCCTGCTTGCTTTCAAAAAGGCAGCTGCGGGCCAGTAATAATTGCTTTTTGGAGGGGTCTGGAGGGCCGGATAGAACGGTCTGGTGGGCTGGATCCAACCCGTGCGCCACATTTTGCCCACCCCTGCTCTAGTGGCTACCACAATTACAGTTGCACAGCCTGCAAGAGAAAAAGTGACACCCCTACAATCACTGACTGGTTTTAAAAAGGTTCATGAAGTTTTAATAATGGAAAAGTTGTCCTATTAAGTCAGGAGAAGGCAAAAAGATACTTAAACTGGGAAATCTGGTAGATTTTTGGTATTTGCTAAAAAAGACTTTTTGCCTGCCTCCGTATTGGAACATTTGAGACATGCTTTGAATACTGACATGCAAGGGAATGAATTTGAGGTTTGGAGGTAGAGATGGGTGCAGGATACTGGGATTTGTATATAGTCTTGTGACATCTGTTACATTCTTCTGCAATTTCCTGAATAGTCCAACTTGGCTAGTTTATATAAAAGTTTATCTTAAATAAGAAGTTTATTCTTTATCAGATTTATCATCATATTAGCAGATGTCATGCAATATACTCAGAAAAGCGTTTTTCATTTTGATATGCTGCATAAGGTGTTTTGTGGTTAATTTTCCTTGAACTGTACAATAAAAATGTGTTTGTTCTCTAGTCTTTTCCAAAACCCTTTTTCAAAAGAAAGCCTCTCTTCTTAAATTGTTTTATAGTAAGTTTCAGATGGCAAAACAAGATTAATGTAATTTTATGGTACGTGCAAAGGGCCTAGCTACAGCATTTAACATCTTCTAAGCAACAGATCACTACTAGCTAAAGAGTGAAAGATTATGGAAACCACTACACCTTAGTGAAATGTTTCTCACCTTGCTTTACAAGATGTATATCTCCTTCTCGTGTTTTTTCCCAAAGTCCATAGCAAGTGCTGCCTTTCACACACAAAATAGTGCCATTTTCCTGAGAGATCCGACTCTCACTGATTCCATGGTCCTGTTGATATGGGTCCTTAAATGCACATAACCGCTCCTCACTCTGAGCCGCTTAAAAGTCAAGAAAAAAAAGGAAAATTATTTTCCAAGTTTTCATATAAATATAGATATAAATGGCTTTATAAACTTCAGTTTAAGGTTTAGCATACAAGGGGTGATTTAGGGTCTTACAAAAACTAACATCCCACACTATTTTGTTCTTAGCATATAAACATCCATTCTTTTATAATTCTGCAGAGCTAATGTTTACCCAAAGGTTAATACAAGTAGAACAGAAGAAAATTTCACTGAATGCTTCAAAAAGAATGTAAATATTTCTGAAATGTGCTGGTGCAACACAGATAATATTTCAGAGCACACTTTACATCTGTTGTGATGCTTCTCTAGCCTACATGATGCACTTCCCAGATGGTTTCACCAGGGACCAGGTGCATGATCATTGAATTATTTCCAGAACCTTTCAGCACCAGGTAGTCCTGGCAGACACTCATCTATCATCCCAGTTAATACTGTATGTGCACCACCCACTGATTATGTTTTGTCTTCTGTGTCTTCCTTTTGTAAATCTGTTCCATTAAGACCTATTCCTTCTATTCCAGAATCACACCTATCCCTGCTCTTTCACACAACATATATTCCAGTATGAGCATTAGCCAGAGTGTAACAGCATGATTCTGACCAATGCTTCAGGGGAAACAGTGAATGCAGATGAGAGCAGCAGCACATGTATAATTCTCCGTTGTGGGATTCCCAGTAGGAAAAATTACAAATTCAGTAACAGAGAGAATGAAAATGAATAGCTATGATCCTCTGCCAGTTATCTCTTGATTTTAGATCATCATCATTAGCCTTCCCTACTAGGATAAATTTTCTTTAACCAAAAAAATAAATTCACAAACTTGTATTTAAATAACTACAAAATCAAACATTTCACACACAACTCCTGTATTTTTCTGTTTATATTTTCTTCATAAAGGCACAGGCCATTCCATTAAGTTAAAATCCATGTTTCCTAAGAAAACAAATATATCTAATGAGGATCTATATACAATTGCAAAAAGTGCAAAGTATCTAAGTTAGCTCTAGTTTTTAAAGAATACATTTTTAAAAACATCCATCCACTTGTTGTGAACAGTGATTTTATAGAAGGACTTTGCTGATGCGGACGCACAAGAAAACTGATGCATAAACTGAAGCATGGCAAGGTGAATACTACCTATTATACTCCTTAACAATGTTAATTTTCCAGTAAGAATTTTGACTGCACAGCTACGTACACAAATGCAATCCCAGTTCCTTAATTTCTGTGAATAATTACTTATAAGACGAAGCAATGTTAACTTGACAAGCCGTCTTTTGGGAAGGGGAAGATGAAGGCAGAGGAAGCCTTGGACCACTAAACCAAGCGTCACCCACAAGAACAGCCCAGCCTAGACCAAAGACAAGCAGAACAAATACCCAGGTAAGCAACAGGAGCCTGGGCAGTACTAAGATTAGGGGGCCAGCGCACACCTCTTCAGGAGGCCTCAAATGCCTCTACATGAACTCTCGTAGTACGGGGAACAAGCAGGAGGAACTTACCCTCCTGTTAGCTGACACCAACCCAGACATAGTGGGGCTCACTGAAATGTGGTGGGACCCAACACATGACTGGGCGATGAATATCAAGGGCTATAGGCTGTATAGGAGGGATAGGACAGGGAGGAGAGGTGGGGGTGTGGCGCTGTACGTCAAGGAGGAATGCACATCCTCAACAAGTAGCACAAGGTCAGAGGAGGGGTACACTGAAGGGCTCTGGGTTAGAATACAAGGGACTCGAGGGGAAAGGGACTTAACAGTGGGGTTTACCACCCAACCAAGGGGAAGAGCTAGACCAGTAATTCTTAAGTCAGCTCACGGAGGTAGTTAGGTCAAAGGACGTGGTCATCATGGGGGACCTGAACTTTCCAGACATCTGCTGGGAAGAGCAGTCAGCCAGGTCTGACTGCTCACATAGGTTCCTAGCCCAAATGCAGGACCTCCATCTAACCCAGGAGGTGCACAATCCCACCAGGGGAGATGCCTTGTTGGACCTGGTGCTGGCCACGGGTGATGACCTGGTGAGGGGGCTGCAGGTGCTCAACCACCTGGGCGACAACAATCATCGCCTGCTGGAATTTACCATCCAGCGCAAGGTGGCAAAGGCCTGCAGCAAGGCAGCAGCCCTGGACTTCAGGACAGTGGACTTCAATGAGGTAAAGAGAATAGTTGGGGAGGCACTGAGGTCCTGGAGGGGAGGGGAGTCAGGTGTCCAGGAAGAGTGGTCATTCCCTAAGGAGACGATCCTCCAAGTCCAAAGGGAGGTAATCCCAACATGGATCAAAGGGGGCAAGAGGGCACAAAAGCCCCCATGGCTCACCAAAAGTATATGGGAACGTCTCCTAGCTAAAAGAGAGGTGTACACCCAACGGAAGGGAGCGCCATCACCAGGGAGGAATATACCTCGGTTGATCGGGACTACAGGGGGGTGGTCAGGAAGGCCAAGGTGGAGATAGAACTGGGATTAGCTACCCAGATCAAGAACAACAAGAAGTCCTTCTTTAAATACATAGGGGGCAAAAAGAAGGTTCCGGGTAATGTGGGACCTCTGCAAAACAACTAGGAAATCTGGTCGTCACACCAGACGACAAAACTAACCTATTTAACAATTTCACACACCCAGGCCTACTGTCAGTGAGGACCTAGTCACGGAACTTCTGGAGGGACTGGACGTACTTAAATCAGCTGGTCCTGATGAACTCCAGAGTGCTGAGGTCAATGTGGGACCCCTGGCACAGCTTTATGAGCACTCATGGTGGTTTGGTATGCTGCCAGAGGACTGGAAGAGGGCCAATGTGGTTCCCATTTTTAAAAAGGGAGGAAGGAGGACCCGGGAAACTATAGGCCAGTTAGTCTTACCTCAATTCAGCGCAAACTTTGAGAAAACTATCCTGGCGCATGTCCACGAGGAGCCAGCAGGGGAGATTATGCTTAGGGGTAACCAACACAGGTTCATTAGTGGCAGG